GGAAAAGTAAGTCCCTAAACCTATCAAAAACATCAATTTCCTCATTTATAAAAAGAAGAAAATAATACTTACTGTCCCAGTTGTGGTTGCACTAGACCACTCAAAACCTGGTGATTAAAACAGGTAATTTATTTAATAGAAATATATTCAACAAGCCTCAGGTAGAAGCAATCTACAAGGCAGTAAAATCAGTACACAAGGAGATAAAAGTAAGTAAAAGCAGCCATAAGGGAAGTTCCCCGGAGCTCTAGTATTCAGCTATTAGCAGAATCCTAGAGCTAACTTTATATATTCCTTGTCCAAAGGGCCCACAGCTGAATTCTAAATCAATATACTCGGGGCAAGGCTAACTCAAACCAATCCAGGTCTACTCCACATTGTTTTGGCTCCCAACAGCTCCAGTTGGTGATGTGAGCATTAAATCAAACCACCCCCTTTCTACCAGAATTCTAGCTCACAACAAATACACTCTCTGTTTTGTCAAGTAGTGGTGAGAGAAGGAACTTTGTAAAACTTGAAAGTTATGTCAAATTGAGTTACTACTGCTGTTACTTGATTATTTTCCAATTTAGTTCCCATTGATTTTATCAGTCACTTCTTATTAATATCTTTTGGAATTTCACCTCCATATAAAGTCTATGAAACTTCAAGCAGAAATATACAGACTCAAGGTGGAAAAGCAAGTAGAGAAGAATCCCATTTTAAAACATCACGGGTCCTTTGGGAAGAACTAGGACAAGGAATAGTATAGACAGGATCCTTGATGCACTGATACAACCCAATGAAAAAATATGGAAGAAAATATTGAAAAGAACCAAACTTCATTGGTGGCCGATAAATGAAGGAGAGAGTAGTTATAGTAAAATCAGACTAACCCTTTAAAGCTACTTGGACAATTCTCATGCTGTCAAACTATGAAGTGATCTATTTGAATGGAGGAGAGGAATTCCATTCTAGTCCATTGAATTCAACTTTTAAAAAATTTATTGAAAGCTATATTTAAATCATAGATAAACAATGTGAAAGTAGAAGGTAACATACGAAGGTAAGGTAGGAGATGGTACAAAAATGTTTAAGATATGATTCCAGTCCTGGACATTAGAGCTCTTTTAATCTTTAAAAAAAGTAGAAGCTACTTTGAAATATCTTCTGTAAGCCACCACTCAGAAGCAGGCTCGGGGCAGAGAAAATATAAGAGCAGCTAAGGCTGGCAAAGCAAATGCTTCCAGTTCATTGAAGTTACTTGTGCCTATTTGTTCTTTTTTTATTAAATGTATTTTATTTTTTAATTTATGGAATAAAACAAGCATTTCCATAACATAGTATAATAAAAATATAATTGCACATGAAACTATAAATCCACTGGGTACAATTTGCTATTCTTTTAAAATATATAATAAAGTTATCATGAAATTTCTTTTTTCTCCTTTTTTTCTTCCCTCATATATCTATATATTTAAAATTATTCTATACATATTTCTATTTATCAGTTCTTTCTCCAGATACAGATAGTGTCTTTCTTCATATGTCTTTAGTTAATTTGGGTATTTATAATAGTCAAAATGACTTAGTTGCTCAAAGTCATTCTTAAAGCAATATTGCTGTTACCATATACGATGTTCTCTTAGTTCAGCTCACTTTGCTCTTCACCATTTCATGCAAGTCTTTTCATGACTTTCTAAGATCATTGAGCTCATCATTTCTTATAGCACAGTAGTATTCCGTCATAACTATTTCTATAGCTGTTCTTTCTGCCTTCTCTGCTTTTCAAATTGTTGGTTTTCTAACCATCTGCCTAGACTCTGTATGACGATTACTTCTCTGAACCTGCTTCCCTGTCCTTTGACTGATTGACTATCTTCACCTTCCTTGTTTTGTTCCCCTACGTGAAACTACTTCAATATGGCTACCCATCTTTTATCCCTGAATCCTGGTATTTCTTTTTGTTTTTGTGAGTCAATTGGGGTTAAGTGTCTTGCCCAGAGTCACACAGCTAAGTGAGTATTATGTGTCTGAGATCAGATTTGAACTCAGGTCCTCCTGACTCCAGGTTGGTGCTCTATCCACTGTGTAACCTAGCTACTCCAATCCTGGTATTTAACCGTGCTTCTGTTTTCTGCTGTAGTAACATTTTAAGATTTCCCAGCTCCTCTAGCTATGTGATCTTGGGGAAGACATTTAACCTAGTCTTGATTTATAAAATGGGAATTACAATTCTTAGCCTGATGAGTACTTAAAGGAGTTATGGGAATCAAATTAGATTTCTGTGAAAACTCCTTGCAAATTTAAAAATCCCATGATCACAATAGCCCCCTCAGGGCCCACCTCATTCTCCATACCATGGGAGATTGGGGGAGCAGTAAAAAGGTAAAAAAAAATGACAACCAGGGTGATAAATGAGAGGGACTCTGTGCCCAAAGAACACTACAGGATCTGTGAAGGTTTGTCAAGAACCCCAAAACTCTGGCAGATTGGGTTCTGGAAATATTGCTGATTAGTAAATGACCTACTGACTACATCATGATGACAACAATGATGATGATGGTGGTGGTGGTGGTAACGAGGATGATGATGATGATGATGATGATGACAATGACAACAATAATCATGGAAAATAATAATATCATGTACATAGCATTTTATACTTTACAAAGTATTTTCCCCCACCAAAATGAATAAAATATTAAGGTATTATGTATATGTCAGATATTAGTATTTTTGTATCTATTATATGTATGAGGAAACTGAAATATAGAGGTCATACAGTGAATAAAAGGCCAAGATTTGAACCCAGACCTTCTAACTCCATGCCCAATGTTTTAATTCATGTCTCCATATGTACTTATTCCCATAGAAAAGTAGCTTTTTGCTGAACTAAAGAATTGAGAAGTATATGATGATGAAATATAAGGAGCAAAATTGGAGATAACAGATGGGCTTTTTCTCAATGTCATAGCCACAAGAAAGATCTTAAGTCTGAAAAAAATAATAAGTTTAACAAAAAAAGGACAAGGGAAGAGTTCACTCTGTCATTAGTAAATCCTCCATGGGCCTCACACCTGGAGCTCAATCTCTTTCCACACATGACCCAGGTATTGAAGTGTGCTAGAAAAGCACTAGAATAGGTATCAGGGGAATGGGGTTCTATTCTTATCTCTACTAATGATTAAGTATGCGACCTACAGCAATTTTAAAAAAATAAATCTTAATTTAATCAATTTTCTTATCTCTAAAATGTGAGGGTTAGATGAGATGACTTTTGAAGTTCCTTCTAGCTCTGACAATCTGTGATTCCAAGGCTAGGTGACTTGCCCACAGTCACACGGCTACTAAGTATTTCAAGGCAGATTTGAACTCTTCTAGGAAGACTTCCAAGTCTTCCCAAATCCAGGCCTAGAACTCTATATACTATGCCACCTAGCTGGAATCTATAACAGAATGGCACATTGGGCAAAATTGACTGATTTTAGTTTTGCATTGGAATGTGGAGCAGGGGTATGTTCCAGTTCAGAATGATCTGAAGACAGCATGGTGTAGTGGAAGGAGTACAGAATTTAAAGGAAAAGAACCTGAGTTCAAATCCCAGCTCTGCTATTTACTACCTGTGTAACCTTGGGCAAGTTACTTAATCTCTCAAATGAGAGAATACATTACATTACTTCCAACATCCCCCTCATTCTAAACTCTGTGATCCTACAACCTCAGGGATCTCGTGTCTTCTACACTGACCTAGTATAGTTTATGCCCCAGGAGAAAAAGCAAGTCATAAACAGAAGTGTATTCATAAATGTTTATCAACTGGCTCTCCAGGGGAAAATGTATACATGATACATTTTTGAAGTTTAGTCTGAATTATTAACACTTTTTCTATCACTTTCTTAAGTCTAGACAATCAACAAAACAACAAATCAAACCCTGAATTATGGCATTTGCCGACTTTCAAGGTATAAATGTTCACACTGAAAATTTAACAATCTACTCTGATATGAGCTGACTCCAACACACCTCTGGTTATAAAGTGAGTGAAGAGGTTTGGGATCCCTAAAGGAGTATCCCAGCAGTATCATTTATCCTATAACCTCATGACAGCCATTCATAGCAGAGCAATGATGTATAGTGAAGAAAAATCAAGAATAGTGATTGTCAGAGTCATCCCAGATCTGAAAACTGAACAATTTGTAATGAGAGGACTCATTATGAGAGGCATCCAGGTGGTAGTGGATGGAGTGTTGGATTTGGAGTCAGGAAAATCTGAATTCAAATCCTGACTCAGACACTTAGTAGCCATGGGACCCTGAGCAAGTCATATAACACCTCTCAGCCCCAGTTTCCTAATTCATAAAAAATAGCATGATAATAGCACCCACCTCTCAACTTTGTTGTGAGAAACAAATGAGATAATATGTGTAAAGCACTTTGCAAACCTTAAGATGCTCTGTATTTGCTAGCTAAGCTAGCTCTTAATCAGGTGTGATTCTGGGCCTGCTTAGCTAGACTATCCAATGTGATCATCACCAGAATTCATTCCAATTCAGCAAACTGTTCCCTATAATCTCTGTCAGGTGAAAGATTTAAAGGCAAGAACACTTTTAAGGAATGTGGCTTCTGGACCTTGCTCTCCAAGCAAAGCTTTGAGGGTATTTTTTTAAGAATGAAATCACTTTCTTCTTAAGATCCACAGCTGTGGTGAAAAGCCCTCCTCCTTCCTGGCTAGGCTTTCATGTTTCCCCCAGATGCCCTCCTGTTTCTGTACTTCTCCTCCTATCTCACTGATCACTGTGGGCTCATAGAGGGCACAGAAATACATTGCCGAATCCCCCAGCTGTAAGGCTGAGATGGTGAGATTGATGGATTTGTCTGATTTCTGGAAGTTCACAGAATATCTATCTTCCCTTGCATTCTGTGAGTTATAAGATTCTTGACGAATAAGGAAAATCAGCCCCCCACCTGGAGGCTGTTTGTACCAGAACAGAGCATAATTAAAGTCACTGATGTCATACTTGCAATTCAGAGTCACAGCTTCTCTCTCCTGTCCAGATGTTGCTGGTTGTGGTTGAATGACCTCCTTAGCTGTGCTGTCTCCTGAAAGAAAGAGAAGAAACAAAGGATTGATCCTCTGGCATGGTCCACAGAGAGCTGGTCCCAATTTAGGGAATTAGCTGAAGGAACCACAATTTGCTTCTCATCATCCTTCCATCTTGACAAATACGAGCAGTTACTTATCTCACCAGATTCCATACTTTGAGAAGTACCGTGTGTGGTTCTTACCAAGAAAGATGGAGACGATGATTGTCCATATTGAAGGGGAGAGTAGCATATTGCATAAAGTCTTTTTGGTTCTGTTTTGAAATTCAAGTCTCAGCCCCACTCCCTATATGATAAGGCTTATGTAGAGTCATTGGAGTTCTTGACACCCCTGTCACACAACAGGAAATGAGATTTCTAAGTGTGACAAATTTGTATTCGTCACATCATACTTCCCCAGACAAAGCCTAAGCTTATCCTGGCCCTCCTTTCAGATTCATTGTTTCCCTAGTAGTTGATCGAAATAATATTTAACACTGTAGATGAATATACTCTTATATTGTCAGGGTTATTTTTTGATGTCTTTTGTTTTTTAAATTAACATTGAAGAGTTTTTGGAAATGAAAGGAGATTGATGGAAAAATCAAAGGAAGTTTCAGTGAATCCATCTGTGATAAGACCCTTGGAGATGTTATGAAATACAAAGCATAAATGAATTGTGATTTCTGCCCCCCATGAGAGCCTATGCAATATTCATCCACCTTTTGTATTCTCTCTTATCTCCAGACAGAATCTAAGGTGAAAAATATTCACAAACCATGCCAAATGTATTCAACATCTCCATGTCATCCCCTACAAAACTTTAGCAATGAAATGCACTTGCATTTGACAAACTTAATCCTCTCTCTAATGATGTCAGATAGAGTCTGAAGGCTCTAAGAAACTACCATGTCATGCATATTCTTTCCACACCAGAGAGAAACAAAAGATAGTGCAAAACCCTGAATTTTTTTTAAAAGTAAGACATTCAAAGACAGTATGGTGCAGTGGAAAGTGAGCTGGCCTCAAAACTAGCAAAACTAGCTTCAAGTCCCACATTTGATAAATAGTGACCAGGTAACCCTGAGCAAGTCACTTAATTTCTCAGTGTCCTAGGCAACTCTCTGACACTATAGGTTATAAAGAAGGTGCCGACCTGCCTGGGTAGAGAAGTTTCCTAAATCAGTGAAATAATAGGTCCAGTCCCTATCCCTACTAGAACATGCAAGAATTTTTCTGTGCAAACAGAGGTAGCATAGCAAATGTCTGTTACTGAATGTCAAAGGCCCAAAGAGAATAACTGTGGCAGAAATACACACAGTCCAACAAAATTTCAGCTTTCTGAATAATCTGATGTCTTAGCAGCATAGTTAGTTGAATCTCTTCTCTTCAATGGACAAAAAAAACTGTGGTAGGTAATGGAGTTGAGGGCAGCGATTATGAATTCATAAGGGGATTGTCTTTCATCTTTGTCTCTCCAAATGCTGAGCCTCTCTATTCTATTATCTCTTCTCTAGCTAGATAGCTTCTCTATCTCTGTCTAAATGAAGCAGTGAGTTTGACGTTTCAGTAGTTACAGGTGTAAAGAGTCCAGAAGAGATGACAGCAACCCCAAGGACCTTGTGACCTTCATAGAGAAGTTTCATTAGCTAAATTAATCCCATGGGATCCCACCTCTCATCTCCTTTCCATGTCTCTGCCATTCATAGAGGTTACAGTCTCTCTGCTGAGTTGCCACATGAGCCTTGCACATAAAGGTACTCAAGAAATGCATTGATTGATTGAATTCGATGTGCATTTATTAAATCACTTAATGTGTGACTTACAGTGCTTTTATTCAAATTTATTCTATCAAATGGCTTACACAAATCAGTATAAGTCACACATTAAGTGATTTAATAAATGCACGTTGAATTCAATCAATCAATGCATTTCTTGAGTGCCTTTATGTGCAAGGCTCATGTGGCAACTCAGCAGAGAGACTATGAATGATAGAGACATGGAAAGGAGATGAGAGGTGGGATCCCATGGGATTCATTTAGCTAATGAAACTTCTCTATGAAGGTTACAAGGTCCTTGGGGTTGCCGTCATCTTTTCCGGGTTCTTTACATCTGTAACTACTGGAACGTCAAACTTGTTGCTTCATTTAGCACAATAACCAAAGGGTATTTGATAGGGCTACCATTTTTCTGGGATTTTCCCTTCCTTCATTTTCCCAGTTGTAGGAACCTCAGTTTTTGTTTTTGTTTTGTTGGGCAGTGGGGAACTAGAAGTATAATTGAAATTTAGTCCTTCTCTTTGGCTGTGTGATCAGAACATTATTCTGTTTGGGCAAAAAACAGAGCTTTCCTCCTAGCGCTAGGCAGACACAGGCCCCTTCCTGTACCCCTTGGGGGTATTGTTAGCTTCCCCTGCATCACACAAAACACGTTAGAACACAGCTGAATCCTCCATTTAGACAGATGCTTTCTTCAGGTGAAATGACATTTCACTCTTAATGTGCCTCGCCTGTCATCTCTCTCCTGTGCCTTCTCTTTTCTCAAGAGAAACTTTAGTGTTCCACTGGAAAACTAGACATACCAGAATGGAAAAGGAGAACATCTCATCTTGTAAGTGCAGTTCAAAGTTAGTAATGACCCTTCAGAGAGGGTAAGATGGTCTTCTGATGGGGTAACTGAACTTGTATTAGTCCCTCCTAAAAACTAATGCTTTCAGTTATGCTGGGCATATGTAGAACAGACAGTGAGAAAACCATTTAAAGATGCTTAAGATTTAAGATAAAAAAAATCCTTAAGATTAAAAGAAAGGCTTTTTCAATTAATTATTACTGAACTTTAACCAGATCATGTGCACTAAACCAAAAGCAGAGATCATGGCTAGTTGAGGATAAGAGAGGATTCCTCTTTGAGAATGTTGAGAATGTTGTCTCAGCTTTAAGTTGGCCTTCCATAGGACTCCTCTTTCATGGATTAAAACTTTGCCCTGGTCTGAGTTCGAGCAATTTGTAGTGAAGAAAGGGTGTGCCTGAAATAGAAGAATGAATTTGTGCCAGTAAGTTGACATACCATGGGAAATTATTCATATTTAAAATACAACTATGAAGAGTAGTGTACCCTGTTGCGGTCGAGAGAATGAACTAGAGAGGAAATTCAATTCAATTCATTCATCAATGATTTTATTAAGTACTTACTAGGTCTAGAGTATCATGGGAGGCACAGGAGAGATTTAAAAAATACAATAAGCCAAAGTCCTTACCCAAATGGAAATCACAAACTAATAATGTAGACTATCATATAAGAGATTTCCCTAAAGTCATATATGCTACTCCAGCCGCATTTCCCAAAATGTTGGTCAAATTTCGCCCCCTATTGTTCAAATGGAGTGGAAGAAAACATGAACAGAAAGAGCAAGAATGACTGATGAATGCCTAAGATATAAACACTGAGCATCAAAGAACGTGTACCAATGTAAAGATACATCTTCTCTGGCAAACATATAATTGGTTTATTCATATGATTATGAGTTTTGTTGGACTTGTTTTACTCGTTAATATATGTGAAAAATATAGTGAGCAGCTTTTCTATTCCCATTTTATTTCCTTTTGTCATTATTATTTTTATAGGGGAATGTGCCCAAGGGCTGAAGAGGTCTATAATACTAGCAAAATTAGTCACTTCCTCAGTGGACCTTATACATGTCCTGGTATATTGCAGAATGAGGACAAAAGGTTGGGGTACAAGATGATTATGTCCCAGACGTGCATGTCCTCATAACCTAAAAATATCTCTACAAGAGCTTCTGGAAATTAACAAAAGTGGCCTTTCCTTCTTTCCCTTCAGTCTGCCCCTAAGGGAAAGAAGTTAGAGGGCACATTATTCTATGACAAGAAATAAATCACTTTCCTATAATGCTGTGGACCTATAGTGCATATCCAGAAAGTGACTAAGCAGGAATTGCTGAGAAAAATAAACAAGAAAAAGACAAAGGAACTTCTGAGAGATGGCAGCAGCGAGAAAGGTGAACCAGTGCCAATAACAAGAGAAGACAGTTGTTGGTCTTCATGGTAGCAGTGACTAATATAAACAAGGAATGATAGGACCAGTTTTGTGACCCAGAAATTCTACTGCCAAGAAACAGCAACCGAAATCCAGGATAAATAAAGTAGGTGTTCCTTTTTTCTTTTAAAATATTGTCAATTTCAATACACAGGCAACACTCTACCCACAAAGATGCCACAGCATTGACCACAGAACCTGGGATATCAGAGAATTCAGGCTACATGGACTTCCCCTATTGGTAGCATGAATGGACAGAAACCACAATAGTCTGGAAGAAAGGGATTGCACTCACCAAGAAGGGGTCCATAATTGTTCCTCTTATAACCAGAATCTAGTGCACATTTTCTTTCCTTTTCACATGCCATGCAATAAATATATTTGATGTGCAAACTCCTTGTTAGTCCCATTTCCTTATAAAAGTACCATTAGGAGAGCTAAAATAAAACCTTGATTTAATGGTCCTGGAGAAACTCTTTAAGTGAGACCAAATATAAGTTATAAGGAACATTACTTATTGAGTAGCCTCCAAGATACGATTGTACTTGTGAGTCTACTTCTTTGAACCAAAATAAATACAAAGTTTCTGGTTGTCTCTGCATAATTTGATTTAAAACTATCTGGGTAACTTTGAGTTGCCAGGGGTGAATCAAAAAAAATAACCTTTGGTCTTCTCCAAGATATCTCCTTGGTCAATTGAGACCAAAGGATGAAACAAGAGTTAGTCCAGCTATTCCCAGGGGAGGTGAAGTCTCAGGAGTTTCTAGCAATGGATGGGCATAGATCTTGGAGCAGTGGTACTCCCAGTTTCTTCAAGCCACAGTTTCAGGACTTGCAGTAAAGGTGTGTTCTATCCAGATTTGTCCATTCCTTATTAATTCATAGGATTTTCTCAGCCCTGTTGGGCTTTCTATCCCCACCACACCTTTCCCTCAGTTTTCTTTACAAAGTTAAGTGCCTTTTCCTCAGCTCCCTTCTCTATCTAACTCTCCTCTGGTGCCTCCATTTTTCCTCTCTCCTTCTGCCCAAAGACTCTCAAATACTAGGGATCCAGTGAATGTTTATGCTGGTCGTCTTCCCTTCTAGTCTCACCCTCAGGCTTTACCTCTCACTTTCCTAATGGACATAGTGTGTTTATCGTTTTATTGTGAAAGAATATAGGAGGATGGTCCAGAAGAGTCAATAGCACCCAGTTTGTGCCCTGGGCAGTTTTGTGACCCAGAGTTTCTGTTGCCTTGAATACAGTACACGTGATAAGTACTTAATAAATTTAGTTTGCTAGTTTTATTTTAA